GGGGGGGCATTCAGGGGGTCAGGGACCCCAAAACGGGACAGGAGAGGCTTCAGGACCCCAACATGTGCTTAAGTTGGGCAGGAGAAGCTTCAGGACCCCAAAATGGGACAGGAGAAGATTCAGGACCCCAAAATGGGACCCAGGGTGGACAGGAGGAGGTTGGGGACCCCAAAATGGGAGCCAGGGTGGGGACCCCAAAATGGGACCCAAGTTGGGCAGGAGAAGGTTGGGATCCCCCAAAAGTGCTTTAAATTGGGCAGGAGAAGATTCAGGACCCCAAAATGGGACCCAAGTTGGGCAGGGGAAGGTTGGGGACCCTAAAAATGGGACCCAGGGTGGACAGGAGGAGGTTGGGGACCCCAAAAATGTGACCCGGGGTGGGTAGGAGAAGGTTGGGGTCCCCAAAATGTGCTTTAAATTGGGCAGGAGAAGGTTCAGGATCCCAAAATGTGACCCAGGGTGGGCAGGAGAAGGTTGGGGACCCCAAAATGTGCTTTAAATTGGGCAGGAAAAGATTCAGGACCCCAAAAATGTGCTTTAAATTGGGCAGGAGAAGCTTCAGGACCTTAAAATGGGACCCCAGTTGGGCAGGAGGAGGTTGGGGACCCCAAAATGTGCTTTAAATTGGGCAGGAGAAGGTTGGGGACCCCAAAAATGTTCCCAACCCTTGGAAGGAGGTGTTTGATGACCCCAAAATGTTCCCAACTCTTGGAAGGAGCCCCTCAATGACCCCAAAATGTCCCCAACCCTTGGAAGGAGCCCCTCAATGACCCCAAAGATGTTCCCAACCCTTGGAAGGAGCTCTTTGATGACCCCAAAACGTCCCCAACCCTCAGCAGAAGCCCCTCAATGACCCCAAAATGTCCCCAACCCTTGGAAGGAGCCGTTTGAAGACCCCAAATGACTCAAAACTCTTGGAAGGAGCCACTCAATGACCCCAAAATGTTCCCAACCCTTAGAAGGAGCCCCTCAGTGACCCCAAAATGTTCCCAACCCTTGGAAGGAGCCATTTGACGACCCCAAAATGTTCCCAACCCTTAGAAGGAGCTCTTTGATGACCCCAAGATGTCCCCAACCCTTAGAAGGAGCTCTTTGATGATCCCCAAATGTCCCCAACCCTTGGAAGGAGCCCCTCAACGACCCCAAAGATGTTCCCAACTCTTCAAAGGAGCCACTCAATAATCCCAAATATGACCCCAACCCTTGGCAGGAGCCCCTCAATGACCCCAAAGATGTCCCCAACCCTCAGCAGAAGCCCCTCAATGACCCCAAAACATCCCCAACCCTCGTGAGGAGCCCCTCAACGACCCCCCAAACCGGCTGTAGACCCTCCCACCACCCCCCAGCCCCCCCTCACTTCTTCTCGAAGGCCTTGTTGGAGGGTTTGAGGGTGGCCAGGTTCTGGAACTCGACGCTCTCCCCGGCCAGCCCGTCCTCGCCGTAGCGCAGCTGCACCACCTGGTTGATGGAATTCCGGACGGTCGCGTCGTATTTCACCATCACTGACTCCATGGACTTGATCAGACGCCGCTGGATGTACCCTGGGGGGCAACAACGGGGTCAGGGGGCGCCTGGGGAGGGGTTGGGGGTCTCCAGGAGGGATCTGGGGAGGGTTTGGGGGCCCTGGAGGGACCTGAAGAGGGGTTGTGTGGGATTTTGAGGTCCCAGGGGGTATGGAGGGACCTGGGGAGGGTTTGGGGTTCCCAAGGTTCCCCAGGTGGGATCTGGGGAGGGTTTGGGGTTCCTGGGTGGGACTTGGGAAGGGTTTGGGGGTCTTGGAGGTCCCCAGTGGGATCTGGGGAGGGTTTGAGGGCTCTCGAGGGTCCTGGGGAGGGTTTGGGGTTCCTGGGTGGGATCTGGGGAGGGTTTGGGGGCCCTGGAGGAACCTGAGTAGGGTTTAGGGGTCCCCAGGAGGGATCTGGGGAGGGTTTGAGGGTCCCTGGGTGGGATCTGGGGAGGGTTTGGGGGCCGTGGAGGGATCTGGGGACGTTTTGGGCTCCCTGGGTGGGATCTGGGGAGGGTTTGGGTGGGATTTTGGGGTCCCAGGGGGTATGGAGAGATGTGGGTAGGGTTTGGTGTTCCCAGGGTTCCCCAGGAGGGATCTGGGGGGGGAGGGGTTGGTTGGTGTTTTGGGATCCCTGGGTGGGACCTGTGGAAGGTTTGGGGTTCCCCAGGAGGTATCTGGGGAGGGTTTGGGGTCCCAGGGTGAGATCTGGGAAGGGTTTGGGGGTCCCAGGGTTCCCCAGGTGGGATCTGGGGAGCATTTGGGGTTCCCAGGGTTCCCCAGGAGGGTCCTGAGGAGGGTTTGGGGTTCCCAGGGCTACCTGGGTGGGATCTGGGGAGGGTTTGGGGTTCCCAGGGTTCCTGGGTGAGATCTGGGAAGGGTTTGGGGTTCCTGGTTGGGACCTGGGGAGAGTTTAGGGTTCCAAGGCTCCCTGGGTGAGATCTGGGGAAGGTTTGGGGTTCCTGGGTGAGATCTGAGGAAGGTTTGGTGTCCCCATGGTTGGTTTTTGGGGGGTTGCTGACCCGTCTCTGCCGTTTTGACGGCGGTGTCGATGAGCCCCTCCCTGCCCCCCAGGGCTCCCTCGGTGGGATCTGGGACCCCAGGAGGGATTTGGGAAGTGTTTGGCATTCCCAGGTGGGATCTGGGGAGGGTTTGGGGTCCCTGGGTGAGATCTGGGGAGGGCTTGAGGTTCCCAGGGTTCCCCAGGTGGGATCTGGGGAGGGTTTGGGGTCCCTGGGCTCCCTGGGTGGGATCTGGGGACGGGTTTGGCATTCCCAGGTGGGATCTGGGGAGGTTTGGGGGTCCCTGGGTGGATCTGGGGAAGGTTTGGTGTCCCCATGGGTGGTTTTTGGGGGGTTGCTGACCCGTCTCTGCCGTTTTGACGGCGGTGTCGATGAGCCCCTCCCTGCCCCCCATGGCGTGGAAGAAGAATTCGGTGGGGGTGAGCCCGGCCAGGTAGGAATTCTCCACGAAGCCGCGGCTCTCGGGGCCGTAATCGTCCTTGATGAAGTGGGGGAGGGTCCTGTGCTTGAACCCGAACGGGATCCGCTTCCCCTCCACGTTCTGCTGCCCCACCACCGCGATCACCTAAGGGGACAACACGGGGGGGGGCTCCTGGGACACCCTAGAGACCACCCTGGACAGCCCAGATCCTACAGGGACACCCCTGGATGTCGGGGAGGTTATGGAGATGCTCCAGGATCCAGGGGGACCAGAATCCAGGGGGTTGGGTCACCTTGGAGACCACCCTGGACATCCCACGACACCCCCGGACCTCAGGGAGGTCACGGAGATGCTCCAGGATCCAGGGGGTTGGGTCTCCTTGGAGACAACCATGGACATCCCACGACACTCTCAAATCCTACAGGGACACCCCTGGACCTTGGGACGGTCATGGAGATGCACCAGGAGTGAACACATCCCAAAATTCAAGGGGTTGGGTCACCTTGGAGACCACCCTGGACAGCCCAGATCCCGCAGGGACACCCTCAGACCTCGGGGAGGTCACAGAGATGCTCCAGAATCCAGGGGGTTGGGTCTCCTTGGGCACCTTGGACACCACCCTGGACATCCCAGGACACCCCTGGACCTCAGGGAGGTCATGGACATGCTCCAGAATCCAGGGGTCTCATTGGAGACCACCCTGGACATCCCAGTGATCCCCCAGGTCCTACAGGGACACCCCTGGACCTTGAAAAGGTCATGGAGATGCTCCAGGAGTGGATCTGTGGGATGGGAAACCCCAGAATCCAGGGGTTGGGTCTCCTTGGACACCTTGGAGAACACCCTGGACATCCCAGATCCCACAGGGACATTCCCGGACCTCAAAAAGGTCACGGAGATGCTCCAGGAGCGGATCTATAGGATGTGGAACCCCAGGATCCAGGGGGTTGGGTCACCTCGGAGACCACCCTGGACAGCCCAGGAAACCCCAAACCCTACAGGGAAACCCCTGGACCTCAGGGAGGTCACAGAGATGCTCCAGAATCCATGGGGTTGGGTTTCCTTGGACCCCCAAGCCCCTCCAAACCTGGCAGATGTCAATCTTGGAGCTCCTGGTGGATCCCAAAAATCCCCACAAGAACCACCCCAAACCCCCCTGAGATCCTCCTGGAATCCCTTAGGGAGCCCCCCAAGCCCCTCTGGAGCCTCCCAAGCCCCTCCAAACCTGGGATGTCCATCTTGGAGCTCCTGGTGCCCAAAGAATCCCAAAAAACCCCACAAGAACCACCCCAAACCCCCCGAGATCCTCCTGGAAGCCCTTTAGAGAATCCCTCAAGATGCCCTGGAGCCCCCCAAACCTGGGAGATGTCCATCTTGGACCTCCTGGTGCCCAAAAGAATCCCAAAAAACCCCACAAGAACCACCCCAAACCCCCCCGAGATCCTCCTGGAACCCTTTAGGGAGCCCCCCAAGCCCCTCTGGAGCCCCCCAAGCCCCCCCAAACCTGGCAGATGTCAATCTTGGACCTCCTGGTGCCCAAAAGAATCCCAAAAAACCCCACAAG